ATATATATATATATATATATATATATATATATATATATAATAGAACGTAATGCATGAAGTTAATGTCTTTATCCGCAGGTATTCATAATTAGCTTTCCGTTAGGCCTAAGTAGTATGGAACTGTTGGTCATTTAGCAGCTGATTGTTCATTTTTTTTAGATAAAAAACTGGATTGAGGGCAGCGTAACAATGTTGTGTAAACCAGACACAGAAAACTAATCAAATCCTCACGCACCGTTTACTGTTTCTCATGTGGGTAGAAGACAACGCCCCCAGGCAAGTGGATCGTTAGCTGAGCGTTGTTCCGACGTTACTCGTACCGGGTCTTCCCCACGCCTGCTGAGCGTTGATGAAGTAAGCAGAACCATGAAAACAGAAGTAAAAGTGAACACCTGTGTTTCTATGTGAACCCGGTCAACTGAGTCAAGAAACGGCCGAGTCAGTCGCCAAACCACACATGACGAACCACCAGTATGTTTTGCGTCCCATGATGTCCCATGAAGATGGCTGTTAGGTGCGAACTACATATTTAACTGTCTCTGAAGAAGTCAGTGTGTCAGTATACTGTCCTTCAATAGTTCTTGGGTTCTGAATGTAATAAACTCTTGAACTGCATGTTACCCAGTTTTTGTCTAGTCGCGGCCTTCGAAGAAGTACACAGTGATTTTAGACGCCTTTTCCATCTACACTAGATATTGGGTCTCCAAATTATTCTGTTCTTTCCAATTTGCGCCTTCTCTCTGTGCATTCACAAATTTCGTAGGTGCTGGCGAGACAGTTAGCTGAATCTCTCGTTCATTAAATTCTCCGATCAAATGTTCCTCACAAAATCTGCCTCATATCTCAGTTGATGCGATATTTGGGATGTCGCGGTACCTTTTCCTGGTAGAGCACGCTACTCAAAGTGGACTGTCGAAGGCTATTCAGGGGCTTTATGAATAGTATGTTCTTCCAATAAAATATATGTTGATCTTAGCGAATATACACTCATTTGCAAACTAATTTGGTTTTTCGAGAGACTCACCTGGAACGACGGATTTTCAGCAACCTTATGAGTAGTACATTACAAAGATATATGTTGATATGTTTTTGTTATGCGCTGTACCCACTTTTTCTGCTACCTTTGACACATATAACCGGACTATCCACACACCAATCGATTCCGTCTGTTCACCATGTAACCTTCGGTGAATATACAAGGTGGGGGCAGCTTTGTAAAATGGTGGTATAATTCGTCGTTTGCACCATGGTACTTGATTGAAACGTGCGTTGTTCATATGTACGGTGCACTGGTAACGAGATTTCTTGTAGTCAAGCGCAGTGCAGTGGTTTGTGTGGCGCACACTCCTCACCTAGATGAAGCACAAAGCACCTGTCACAATGGCACGTTTGTTGTAAGAGGCCTGTAGACGTTGCCCCAAGTGGCACACTGAATAAGGGGTAAAAGCTATAGAAAGGTTGACGCCGGTACAGTTATGATGAATATCAGTATAACGAAGGTGTATAGCGCACCGTTCGTATTATATTGATTGATCGCATTACCATTTTTCGGTCGTGACCAAACTTTTGGGCTGGCCCTTTGAACGTTTGCCGGTTGACTACACGATCTAATGAGTTGTGTATGCCTGGTCACCGTTATGACAAGCTTCTCCACTCAGGCCCGCAGACATTTTTTTCAGTTTTTTTCCGGCTAGTTGCTAATCGGCATGCTAGCTTGGAAAGTCACGAGATTTCTGTAAAAGTTCAAACTACGAGATGATCAAGTCGTCGGGTGTGCTAAAATCTGCCGTCCTGTGCCTTCGATTATGATGCAGAGCAGGACATTAGGAACAATAAAGTTGTCAATGCTTGCTTGCATGATTGAAAAGAGACAAAATACATACCGAAGAGTTCGCTCCCTATCAGTTAATCTAGTAGACGCTAACCACCGAAGGAAAGTATGGATTTAATTAGGATTTCCTTTGTTCCACCGTACGGCTGGATACATTCACGTGTAATGATAAGGAATTGTCGAACCGCTACAGACCGTGGGGATCAAGTGCCATGATGTTGTTTAGAGCCATTTCGCTGATAAACGTGACGACGATCCATACCGCACAAAAAGCACAATGAGTTCCCAATGTAAACTAAACCAGAAATAGCCCAGCATGTTTCAAATGTCCCTTGCGCTGACTGACTGGGAAGTCCTGACAGGTGGGTCATTGGATCGTCACAACCAGGACACTTACTGGGTTGTCGTTCGAGAAGTCTGGCAAACCAACGAGATCGATCAAGCGTAAACATGTTCACCTGTTCAGGCGTGAAGATTCATATGCGTCCAGCTTGCGCTGGTGGGGTAGCGGATATGCACAGTTGGTGAGCTCTAATAAGAACGAAACTCGGGTCCAATCCTTCCCACTTGAATGTGGACTCACCAGAATGATTACGCCGGAGCAGAAGGACAACTGTTCAGATGGGACTGATATAAACGTGAACACTACAAATCCCGATAACACTCACAACAAAATATCGGATCAATACTTCAGCATACGAGGTATTATCCCTCCATCACTTGTTTGCTTCTGGTATGGATTCTGCGCATGAACTTGAAATGAGTAAGGACTTTGCACACCGAACGATGCGGGTGCATTTTGCCGCTAACCAAAGCGTGGTGTAAGTGTACCGAGGTCACTTATAGATGTTTTGAAAAATCGGCTACCATGAAGGACTGCTGTGACATAACTCCTGGTCTTTCCTCCATCGGCCATTAGACAAGCTTTCACTCATCACAAGGTGAAATGTACGATATCGTGAACAAGAGATCTAGCTGAGTTCCAGATGAGCCGAAAAACCAAATTCATTTGCAAATGAGTGTGTTTCGCTTAGTGCGTTCTTTTTTTATAACCGTTTCCATGAGAATATAACACTCCAGTGGTGTTTTAAATCGCCTGAGTAGTCAGATCAAGATTTGAACATTTTATGTGAATTGTGCCCTTTGGATGCCATTAATGCTCCGAACAAAGCACAAGTTTTGATTTTACAGAAACTCCCTTCCCAACTTGTAGGGAGCACGCAAATTCAGGCATGGTCGTAGTCATAGCTATTTCTTTACCTGTGCCACCTGTACGCCTATTCAGTCGGTCATCGCATTTAAAGTTCAGCCGGAAGTTTGATTAGGAAGGCTGAAGTTAAACCACAGAGTTGTGAAATAAGCGACACTGTACATCCACTTCCTTAGGCGACTGAAACGTCAGCAGTGGGCGCTGTTTGGTATCACATAAAAAGTGGTTATCAGTTAAGGTAGGTGCATCAGCAAATTTACTCTAGGTTTTCGCCGAAAAACCAATCTTATTAGGCTACGGAAATACAATGATCCTTAGGATGAAGCACTTTTTCATTAAGTGCATAGCTTAGTGATGATCAGCACAAGGTTTTTATTGCTCTGTTTCACAGGTGTCCCCAGATTTTAGTGCACCGAATGTCCGATATGAAACTGAATTTTGCACCGCTTGTTTATCATTCCGTAAAAACATCAATGTGCTCTCATGAGTCGGACCCTTTGCAGGTTGATAAACGTCGTTTGCCTGTTGATGCTCAAATCTGGCTGCTACTTGAAGCGTAGTTGGAAGTTACTTTTCCCGGCTGTAACTTTTAATCTCAGACAGTACATAAGGCTGAAGCCAACCGAGAAGCAGTATGCGTGTTAAGAGGGTTGAAGAAACCTGTAAGGTCGGTGTAACAGTCCTGGACTCTAATTCAACCAAAATATAAATCAATGAGGGATAATAATGAAATGCACAAACTTAGCCTGTTAGTGATAGCCTCCCTGCTCTCCTGGCGAACTTAGTCTGGTAAGTCCACACCAAATAGCGGAAGCACTGGACTCGGGTTTCGCTTTCAGTAGAGCTCGTCAGCTGTGAACATTCTTGGGTGGGCAGGGATTTAAAGCCAGGACGTTTGATATGCAAGATGAGTATGCCGTCAGCAGTGCACGCTGGTCGCACTTCAATTAGCACATCTGAACTGCCGAACGCGTTCACACCTGGACAATGTGGCTAGAACTGCCTAGAACGACAACCCAGAAACTCTTGGTTACGTTGGTCGACTGGTCCACTTGTAAGGATTTCCCGGTGTGTGGGTGGGTGCGAACGTTGGGATGTTTCAGCTGTTGATTAATCTAAAGTTTATTTATATATTTCATAAGGTTTGTCTGCGAGGATCTAACGATTATCCAATGTGAAGCCAGTATTGTGGACTCGTGGTTGTTTTTTTTATTTGCAATGATAGATCTCTGACTACAGGATGTTTATCATCCCGGTGGTCAATCTAGCTGAGCCCTAAGACAACATGAAGCAGGTCATTTCGATCTCTTATCTGCACGAGGTCATTTGTTTGGTAGTTCCTACTAAGCAGCCTAATGTTATCCACTGTTCAGTTTGCAAAGGGACTGTGGCCAAAGGCTCAGTACTTTTCTCCTGTTTTTTAGCCCCCGATTCTGGTCTATGATGATTCTCAGTGGAGTTTTCGGCTTTGCCATCGGTTACGTGAGCGCTCTTCAAATTCAGGTCACCAGCCCCTTAACTCACAATGTGTGTGGAACCGCTAAAGCGGCTGCTCAGACCGTCCTCGCAGTAATAATCTATGCGGAAATCAAGACGTTCTCCTGGTGGATGAGCAACATTGTTGTGCTTCTAGGGTCAGCAGCCTACACGTATGTTCGACATCGAGAGCTGAATTCTAATTTTGAGGCCAACAAAGAGAATCACAGTGCGTCCTCGGAACTGCCGTATACATCACCCGGTTCAAAAACGACTGTCGTTTGAATATTTCTCTCGAGACCTGTCACACCCACCGGCTGACTTATCTTCTGTGATACCGATCGCTTTATTTATCATCTTTTCCACTTTAGTGTGTATTCAGCCTGTTTGTGTTTATTTACCAATCGTTTGCCTTGATTCCTTTGTTGTTTATCTCACCTAAGCTCTCTGCGCTTCATTGTCCCACCGCAAATCTGACTGTTTCGTATGTTCTTTTTCAGTGATCTAGTGCTGTTGCTAGTTTATTTAATTTCGCTCATTTTCTAATTGCGAGTAGATCAAAACATGCAAAAAGTATGGTACTAATTGTTCTGGTTATGAGAGTTTTTTCAAAACGCTTGTTACTTTTTTTCCGTGTGAATTGATTCACTACTGTTCTTCACTGTGTGACTAGAGAAAGGGACCCAGTAGTTTGCCAAGACTGTTGTTTACGACTGAGATAAAAATTCGATGGAATTTTCATTAACAAATACAAGCATTTACACTGTGTGTTAGTGTTCGACTGAATAATGCTTTGCTCAGCTTAGAAACCTATGGGATAGTTACTCTCTGCCGTACAAATGTACAGCGAGTAACGTGAATAATGAACAGTTGTTTCGACGCTGTTCAACTGAGTCACGAATGCAAGAAGCAAACACTAGCTTTTTTCAACGCTGTTCTGTGGTTCACAAAGCGGATCATTTGTAGTTGACCAACTTCGACATTCCTGTCGCAGAAAAATCTTTCAGATCGGGTACCAACCAAATCTAGTTTGGTAAAAATGGGAGTACATGGAAAAATCAACCACCGGTGGTCCGTTAACTCACGCATAGTACAGTTTGGTTTGCGGAATGAATATCCTCCTTTGTGTCACTTGTCGTTATCAGAAGCGGTTTCTCGGGAGGGCTAATCTGATGATATCTCTGGCTGCACTTTTCCAGAATGGTTACCATGGCTTCGGGCTGTTGTCTACCTTCATTCACAAGCAGAAAACTAATCGTTCAGTTTATATTGGAAAAAGTTTGGCCATAAAAACTGCTGAGTGAAAATTAAGGGACAATACAAATTAGCTTCTTGTGCATTCCAGTCTGTAGCTAGTTTTGTGAGTGTTTTTAGCTCAGTATCTCTTCCGAAGCATTCCGAGTGTATCATATTGCTTTAACGGTACCTGTCAGGCTATAGTCCAAACCTTTTGTAGCTTCACTGGGTCCGTATTTACTTCACTGTTGGCTTGGAGCAACACAACCGTATTTTCATCATTGTCTATCAAGGAGCAAACTTCTGTCAGTTGAATATATGCCTCTGCTTCGTTGTGCTGCTTTAAGGTCGCATTTGCACTGTCCTCCGAAATGTATTCTGGGGTGCATGGCCCAACCGATTGGTGACCAGATGTTCCCCTCTTCTCACTCCCTGTCAATTCTTGCATGTCCAGTTGGGGCGCTGAAGTGTGGTTTGGGCATGCATTGCATACGGAGTTTGGGCTTTTCTTTGGCGGACTTTCCGTGCTAATTTGTGTTCTGTCACCTTGGCCCATTGATGTTTTGGCCAGTGATGAATGGCTCATTAGACCTCGGTCGTTTGTCACCATAGGGTCGTCGGTAGTTGAGCAAAACATCTGAATAATAATAGAAAGAAGCGAAGTCACGAGAACATACGTTAATCAAATGGAATTCAGTTGAACTACTGCCGACAAGTCACACTTGCTATGAGACTGGATAAGCACCCGTACTGTGTAAGAATCTGCCATCGTTTTTGCTAGAAACGGCGAAGAATGATTATATGTTCAGGGCCCTCAGTAGCAAAAACCAGCGGCTGAAACCCCCGCAAATGTGGTATGTTCCGCCTTAAAATTTACCGAAGCAAGATGTCCGGAAAGATGCTCCATGGAGCGGCTTCCAAGTTAACATATTACCAAGGGGAAAACCCCTCATCGAAGGGTTTTCATGAGGTATCATCCTGTCATGGACGTTATGGCCCCACTACCCGAACCAGATTAATGGCTTCGTGGTGGTTCCGTAAAATACAGGAGATTACACGTTTTTCTTTTCTGAATGTAACTTTACCAGACAGCGGAACCCGTTGAAGTGTATTTCTCTACAAGTTGCTGTCCTATTTGGCACAGACCATCTCTCAGTTCAACGGGAATTCATGGCTGTTGTCGGATAGTCAGGACACTAATTCATCTATCCAGTCATTCGATGGACAACATTTATCTTCACTTTTTTATCTCCATGTCCGATTCCGTTGCTGCAGTTCGATCTTTTCAAATGTTGTGTTATTCCCTAACTGAAGTAAACCTTGGTTTAAACAGAGTCTGGTTTCCGCGAATTTATGCAAACTATCTAGGCAGTCAGTAGCTCGGAACGCTTGGAATGAGCTAGTATCGTGTCACGTCCCAGTGAGAGGAAGAAGGCCTTCGCTGCGAAGTTATTTATTCGGAAATGTCAACTGACCGGTTACAGACCATTGAACAGGGAAGCAAAACCCTAATCTGCATCTTAGTTACAAAAACTGGACACAGATCTTCTCCCGAACGAGCCTTCCTGGAGATTCATTGACTCCAATCATTCGTCGGTCAAATCCAAGCAAATGTTACAAAGTGGCTCCGCGAATTCCGCAAGAGAATTCCCTTTTTCAATGGACGCAAAGCGAAATTCTACGAACAACACGTACTACTCGCGTGCCTCCCGATCAGTAGTATCACCAGTACCCACTTGTCTTCTATGTTTATTGCCTTATTTGAGTAAACACTGTTGTCATACGATGGAATATCAGTATCAGACCTCGCGTTGATATCCACGTTGTTGCTTTGAACGGTAAGGAAACTGAAAATCCCAGTAAAACCTATCGGTAACTTTTTTCCGCGGCCGCCCCCCCCCCGCCCCGATGTCCATATGCTCCCTGCTCTGATTGTCCTTTGTTCGTTTTAGAACGTTCAAGCCAGATGTTACCCAAAAATATGAGTTTCCCATGCCTTTCTTCAAGCTACAGCTAACTTTGTATTCAAAGCGCATAAATCAGAGTTGGGTAAATAACGACTGATCGGTTAGATTTTGTATTATGTTGCAACGCCCGTGAATCGGTATTGGATGAGGTTAAAGGAAATAATAAAACTCAACACTGAAATGCTGAGCGCGTAGCACGTTAACGGTGAACCACGATAGGCTAAAAAGGGACGGCATTCTGCAAAAGGTTCCTGGCTCGGGTTTCACCTCTGTCGCAAAATCTTAGAAGGTGTATTTGCAGTGCTATAAAATAAGCTATATTTGCGTCGCTCCACTGCACGTACTCCGTCATTTATGTGTATAATGGAGGCTATGGCTTTCGCTTGCAATTTTGGTACTCAATACCGCCCATCATTTATCCAACTGAAAGCCTAGCGTCCGTACGCCGTTATTTGTGTTCAACCTAGTGGGAGGGACGTTCTTTGGTACGCTTTCTACAGTCAGTCTTCTGTAGAGGTTATTCATCCAGCTTATCGGTGAACCTACAAAAACCTATTGAGATACTTTCTTATTAACATAAGTGTTGACTATCACCGGGGCTAAACTTTCAGCCACCATTTTTCGGATAAGTGGTTGATGATTTAAAGGCTGAACGGAGCCGAAATGTGCTTGACCCACATCTTGATTCAGTCTATCTTACAATACCATTCTTGATAGCGATACCTGAGGATTTTTGAAGTGCCAGCTTCTATCGAAACTATTAAGCAGTATCATGTGAACCATTGAGGACATCCGTACGTGTATGGTTTCAGATAATGGGAAATTTGAAATACAGCAGAGCCTACTTAATTTTCACAATTTTCTCTCACCGAAGCATATGCAAACCAACTGAGATAGTTTGGTAAAATCGTGGAGGAATTAGAGTCTTGTAATTACCAATAGCGTATGTCGAAACAGTTGCGTATTTTCTATTTTCTACGATTCGTCCTTCGTGGTGACAATGCTCCTGAATGCTACTGAGCATGACTTCACTCGTCACCTACTGTCTGGCTAAACTGTAAAGCTAAATGCTGAATAACTGTGACCTAGACCTTGTACCACCAAACTTCTCATTGTTATGAGGAGCGATAACGACGATGTATAGTGTGGACAAAAATCACTCACTTGTTGCACCATCTACGTAGTTCGGAGGAGGCACAAGGGTTCAGCTACTGCTAGGTTTTTTGAACCTATGAACCAGGTCTAATACATTACTTCACACACTTTCGATCACAAGTGATAGAACACCAAGTATTCAGAAGTTCACCGAGAGTATCAAACCCAAACGGTGTGCAAGTAAACGAAAGGTAATCGTTTGTCATCGCAGTAATAGGATACTGACTAGTACTGGCCACATCATAGTTCGCCTACCTCTATGGTCTCCGTGCATCGAGCTTGCAATAGCTCGTTTATACGAATGGCCAAATCGGATCTGGCTGCTTCTGCTTCACGCGCGGCGACGCGCCATCTCTCCGCTTGTTTCTCAGTTGCTTCAAGTCGACAACGTTCCGTATGAAGGCGATCTTCTGCTTCCATCAAGCACTGCGCAACTTGTGTGTGGGTATTCAGTCGAAGCTGTTCCAATTCTGCCCGGTATCTGTCGGAGGCTTCGTCAAGTGTTTTCTGAAAGGCTTCTCGAAGCTCCGTGAGTTCAAGTTGATGGCGCTTTTCCTGTTCGGATAAGGCGTCACTGAGTTGTTGCTGAAGTGCCAGTGGAAAGTCCAGTTATTTGTGGGGATTCAAGTAGTAAGGTAGCATTAAGTTCGTTCCCTACCCACTTTCATTGTTGTCTCCACAATAAGGCTTTCAAATAAATCACGGTTGTACGGCAGCGAAGTATCAGTGTTGAACACCGATATCATGCTGTGGGTGATATGATGATGAACGGTACAGCTGCCTACAGAGGATACAAGTCTACAAGTGATTTAGAAACTTGTATAAGTATAAGGCTGGCTGCGCTTGAACCAATCTAGTACACATGTTCAAACTTCAGCGAGATTTTCTCTCACTGCCCAATAACTCTTGTGAAGACAACACTGTTCATTTTATTGTTGGATTGGAAGCGAATTGAGCAACATCAACCATCTGCAGTCGTCTGTCAGGGATGCAACAGTGAGGGAAAATAATTCCAATCCTATTTTCATGCATTACAAGGGATATAATAACTTCACTGAGGATGAAAAGTGTTTTTCGTTCATATCCACTCAAAACTGCAGTTTTTACCATTCAGATAGGGTGGGAGTCACGGATAGCCGTTGCTTTGCACACAAAGACCCCATTAATAATCCCCACTCAATGGTTACGATAAGGGCAACCCTAGCTGGAGGTGATATCAGTGAGAAGTTTATGCCTATTTCTGGAGATTGTGAGTTTTTACTTAATGACAGTCTTTATTGGTCTATAAGACACTGATAAGCCTGGGGGCCTAATGACGGAGCAGGTTATGCGAAAATCATTGAAAATAAAATGCACTATGCCCTGTCACCTACGTTCATCCCAGCGATAGCGTAGCCTAAAAACTCGACGT